GCTTGCGAGCCAGGCGAAACTTGCAGTTCCGGCTCCCTGTGTGATGCGCACCATGGCACACGATGCAGTCCGGCGTGCACGTAGGTGGCTCTCCTTCTGGTGGGGCAGGATGGTCCTTCCCGCAACGGTGACATAGGTTGCTCTTCGGACGATAGCAAACGTCGGCTCGATGTCCAACTCGTCTGCAGTTGTAGCAGGTCTCGACTAAATTCCTGTACGGGATCACAGCGTACAGACAGTTCCAGTAAGTAATCTGCCGGGGTATGCGTTTTCCCCCGAACGTAATCTGAATCGCCTTTGACTTTCCCAGAGGTCTCGCGTCCAGAATGTCTATGCCTTCATTCTTCTTCAGGAATCCCGCCCGAACTTCTTCCACTGGGCATTCATCATAAGCATTGTATATCACTCCCCGCACGGAGTTCTCCAAAGGCGCCACGAACGCCGAAACCGGCAGATCACGATCACCCAGCTTGAGCGTCTTCACAGTCGCATATGCCCCACTGCGATTTATGCACGGTGTGCTCACCGTCAACGTGTTGTTTGTGCCATTAACCCGCACAATGTCTTCTTCCGCGGCAATCGCACTCGTTAGACGCGCTGCTGCTCTCAGTGCACATCCGAGTTCTCTCGCTGTCACAACACTCAAGTCCCAGTTCTGGGGCCTGTACAATCTTGAAATCCGTGGCTGGCAACTTGAGAAACAGTCCGCGTTTCTTCCATACCGGCGCTTTCCCCCGCTTGACTTGCTGCGCTCCGTGCGTCTTGCGCCCGTCGCTGCCGGCCTGCGTCTCGCAAGGCTTACTCTTGGCGTTGTCGCCATGCTGAGTCTTCTTAAATCGGTCCTGTGGCGTCAGCACTGGAGCCCACTCTCCCGCTTCAAAATCTTCGGGTGTTATAGTCTCCCCTTCGACGTAGTATTCCATCTTCAGCCCAACAAAGCCCACGGTCACCGGGCGCAAGTCAGACGCCCGGCGACGCGGCCCAGGCTTGGCCTAGGAGATAGGCCTAGCCTTGCCACCGCGGGGTTGATAGGAAAATTTCGGAAACTCCAAAAACGGGGACAAACTTGCCTAAACGAGTGGTGTCCGTAGGTACAGGGCAACCGCTTGCAGACGAGCCCACTGACAGCAAGTCCAGAACACAGCGCGTCCGCCGATAGTCGGTCACCGGGCCGGAGCTCATGCGAAACACGTCCACACAGCGTCTCACTCCAGCCGCCTCTTCCACCTTTTCGATAAAAGGCCCATGGCCCTAGATTCGTCGCGTCAAGGCGTGAAGGCTTTGGCGCCTCCTTAAAAGTGAAAATTGACTGGCGCCTTCCTTCGGCAGCGTAGATACGAGTGATGCGATCATCGCTTTATGACGTTATCACGACTCTGGAGGCTACAAACTTTCGAAAGGATGCGAAGCTGCTGCTTGTCGCAGTTTTCACTCGTCACTGCCTGCGGGATCACAGATAATGGCCATGCAGTCCGAGTGCGCCGGGGAAATATAAAATCAAAGGTGTTTTCCGCAGCCACTGAAGCCTTGGTTTCCAACAACACGATTGCGGGAAGATTGCAGATGGTGACGACGACTTCTGAAGGAACGCCGCCGTTTCGGTCGTTCTCGAACGCCGTTTTCGCTCCATTGTGCAGCACAGTTGCGACGCTATACGTGTTCTGATAAATCTCGGAATTGGCTGGATTTTTCAACTGATAACAAGTTAATGGGAGTTTGATGCCATCGAAGAATGCATATTCTGGTCAGAACCCCAAAAGATGTCCTGGTTATCCAGTTTTTCTTATTAACAGTGGTGGCATTAACGAAAGTTACCGTGTTTTCATGCATGCCGGCCAACTTTCTGCAGAGCTCTCGAAATCCTATAAATGTTATTCAGCAATCATTATGCGCATCTAAAAATGAGTCTCTTTAAGTTTCACGCTTTAATACAATTGGCTGTTCAAAACGCATTTTTTTACTGTTTTTCTCTTTTCCAGCATCGGGCAGAACTGAAGTTAGATGAAGTGGTGACAAGAAACCCGCAATCAGGGAACAAGATGTGTCAACAGGACACCGCCAGAATTGTCACTGCATGCGCCGATGCAGTGGCAAGCTAGAACTGGTTGCGGTTGCACCTCCTCCGATTCTTCAAAGCTGCAATAGAAATGCTGAGCAAAGTTGCACCGTACATGTACATGACACTGCCTGCGACGATTTCATATATTTTGCATTGTGTACTTGCAAAAAAAAACAGAAGTCTTCCGTTTGACATGGCCTAATGTCTCAGCCGAGAACGGACAACATATGGTTGCCCTAATCGTGATGTGAAGGAAATAACAAGCCCAGTGTCCTTTCCATACAATAAACATACGATGTCTCATTGAATAGGAAAATGCTTGAATACTCTTCTGCCTACCACGGTGGCTCCGTCGTTAGGGTGCTCAGCTGCGGAAGCAAAGGTCACCGTGGATTGGATCCCGATCGCGGCGGTCGCATTTCGGTGGGGCCGAAATTGCAGAGGCCCGTTGCTGTGCAATGTCAGTGCTCATTTTAAAGAAAGTTATGGTCGAAATTTCCAGAGCTCTCCACTAACAGGCATCTCTCATAATCATATCACGATTTTGGGACGTTAAACTCCAAATAATTATTAAAGACGATAGTCGTTATTTTGGGATACGTGAAACCAGAATTTTGGACCGCTTTTCTGTCTCACGAAACGATTCAACCATACGGCCAAAGCTAAAGCGCTTGCTGAACGCCCATCTATCTTGCACTGGTGGCTGCGTTCATACTTGCGAACATTGCCGATCAAATATAGCGAATATTACGCATATCTGAGGCGTAACATCAATACGTGCGTATAAGGTGATGTGTTCCATTTAAGACAATACACAGACACGTAATTTTAAAGACCCTAGCACTTCTTAGGCTGCGCTGAAAATGCGACGTTATGCACGAAAAAAAAAATGCCAACGGAAGACATTTGCAGTGTGTCACGCAGATACGCCGCCAATTTATATTATTCAATACTGATCTGATTCGTAAGGATTCATCCGTGGTTTGTGGTGCCTTGTACTCGCTTTTTGTGAATACGTATCATTCGCGTAGCATTTGCTGCACTGTCTTCAATGTGATGTGCAGACGTTTATATGCCGCTGGAAAATTCACATGAGTTGCGAATGCGCGCAGTCGAAGACGACACCATGGATTGATTGATTATTGATTGATTGATTGATTGATATGTGGGATTTAACGTCCCAAAACCACCATATGATTATGAGAGACGCCGTAGTGGAGGGCTCTGGAAATTTCGCCCACCTGGGGTTCTTTAACGTGCACCCAAATCTGAGCACACGGACCTACAACATTTCCGCCTCCATCGGAAATGCCGCCGCCGCCGCCGGGATGCGAACCCGCGACCTGCGGGTCAGCAGCCGAGTACCTTAGCCACTAGACCACCGTGGCGGGGCTACATGAAGTGGTTATGCAAATGATGGGTATTTTTAAAAATCATTCAATCACTCGAACTTGCTAGAATGAAAAACAAAAACTGCCGATTTGATTGATAATCGAACGCCTCTTATACGTTACGCGTCATATATGGGACATGTTACGCCTCATATATGCGACATCCGACTAGCGGGAGTAGGCACCGCATATATACGAAACAGTAGAAATGAAAAACGAAGTTATGAAAAATTGGCAGATCCCTCCGTGGTGGTTTGCGCCAAGACTCTGAGGAACAACCAACCACGTGCACTGGAAATCGATGACATGCGAAGCACGAATGAGGAAGGTTGATATGTCACTTTAAAATCAGCACAACGTTACGAGGTGGAGGTAAATGATGCCGTATATGACTTCCGCGTCATGATTATCATGTTCGCGCCTGGCATTTTTGTTCGTCGTCCATTCACGTCACGCAATGTCAAATTTGGTGTATCTGAAGCTGGCGAAACGGCCGCGAGCACGCTATGAGTGTAGCATGTAGTGATGTTTTACATGACACGCATGTCATGATTATCTTGTTTGGACGTTCCATTTACCTTCGTCGTCTATTCACGTCACGTAACACCAAATTTGGCATATGTGAAGCTAGCGAAACGGCTGCGACCGCGCTATGAACGTAGCATGTCGTCATGTTTTACATAACATGCATATCCTGATTATCATGTTTGGACGTGTCGTTTACCTTCGTCGTCCATGCACGTCACGTAATAGCAGATTTGGTGCATGTGAAGCTAGCGAAAAGACCGCGAGCGCATCATGAGCGTGGCACGCAGTCATGTTCTTACATGACACGCATGCGATGATATCCACATGAGGGCCTGTAAATTACGTTCGCCATGCAGTCATGTCGTGCCATACCAGTTTCGCGATATTACATGTGGACGAAACGACCGCAGTAACAGCAAGACCATGACATGTAAATCCCGACATTCATGACATACATGTCATGATTTTCATGATATGACTAGTTAGTTATGCCTGTCATAGAGTCATGTTATGCCATACTAAATGTGGTATATATTCCGTTATCTCAGCGGCCAGAAGAGCTTAAAGTCGTAGGCAGCTAAATAGATAGTTAGACAGATAGGGTCAAACTCGCCGAAGTTCGCTAAGAAATTCTTCGCATTAAGATATGAAAGATCCTGGTTTACAAACACCTCTCGGACATTACATCACAGTCCTTAAGCGCGTGGATGTACGGCTGCTTGTAATTTTTTTATCAGAATGACGCCCCTTCCAGCTAAATCCATTATCAGACACGTGACCAGTGGCCGAGTAAGCATGTGCATTAAAGTCCTTGCGGCGAGGCATTGCATTGCAATCCGCCGCCAACGCTCGAACGAAGCGGAGCCTGTCGCCGCACTCCTGAAAAAAAAAAGTATGTTCAAACACCCCATCGGTCGGGAAGCTTTTTAACTTCAGGCTCGACATCTGACTAACGGGCGGTGAACGAAAGCTTCTTCACTTCACCCTGCCAGGTCGCATCTTCGCCGCGCGTAGGAGATACGACCGACGTTTCCGTCACAACATCAAGTACACCGAGGGTTCCTTCTAGCCATAGCCAACACTCCACGCAACATTCAGCTTCCATAGGCGCCTTCAGGGTCACTGGCAGCCATGGCGTACGTGGAAGTGCTGTGCTCACACCTTTCAAGGGTGCCGCAACACGAACTGCGGTGCTTGGACAACGACGGCTTCACCGACCTTCCAAAGCTCGCCGACAAGTCTGTACCAGAAGCAGTCAGCGCGGTTCGCGCCCATCTGGAATCCATAGCCGCTCTGCGCGACCGTCTGGACTGCGCGGCCCACTTGTTCACCTGCATGGCCGGCCTGGGCGTCATAGGGTCCTGGGTTCTCTATCGCGCTGACCGTAGGGAGGACCCCACTGATATCGTCGGCGACATCCTGAAAAAAATGCGGCAGAGACGCGTCCACGGCGTGTTCGCCAAGGCGACGGAAAACGTCTGTTGCACCTGCCTGCTCGTCCCCGAAGAAGAGAGAGGCAGGGACTTCAGGCCTTACTTGTTCGTCGACTGGTACACAAAGCCCTGCGTAGCCATACACGAAACTCCCGACATACATTCGCCGTTACTCGAAACCGTCCTCCGACAGACGCTGGGAAATCCGCCACGAAGCTACCGTTGCGGCGTTTATCGAGACCTGAGGTCGCTGTATGCTGGCGTCCTCCAATTGTTCCCGTGATGCAGCCGCCGACTCCTCCCATGCCATCCGTGGGCAACGCGGTGAACTGTCCCTCCTTTTCGGCCACCGACTTTATACCGTAAGTCATTTTTGCGGGCTATTCTCTTTCTATGTATGGCGTAGTTGCTCTGCCAAGAGAATTTAAGCCCGTGATCTCTGTAGCCAACGTCACAAACAGGTCTGCTTTCGCGAATAGTAACTGCGTAGATGTGGCTGAACACGCTCATTTTAATTATACCGTTATTGATGTAGCGTTCCTTGGACAATCCTGAATTTAGCGTATAATTATCAAGCACGAAAAATTATGTGATGCGGTTTCCTTGATTTATACACTTCTGCTTAATTGAACGTAATGCTCATTGAACAGTCGTTGCTAGTAACATCACTGGTAACGTGGTTCCACGGCCATTAACGTGGGGACACACAGCGATGCTTGCAAGCCCGACGTGTCTTTATCTGCGCCCTTGAATTTAACACTGCTAATTTCCGTAACGTCGATTACCAGTAGCGATTTGCTTGGATTCATAACTGCCGTAGCCGGTTTATTGCGTTATCCACCGTGAATAACTATTTCGTTTGTGAAACAATTCTTCATTGGTTGTCTTCTTTCCAGCATCAAGACGATGTCGTTTGACGGACCAAAATTTTTCATGAACCGTGCAGTTTGCCGAAACCACTTGACGACTTACAAATAACCACGCATCCCCATCGGAGACTGCAGCCACGAAAATCTTGATAAGTACCACACCTGTTAAAGCTGTAGTGACAGCTGTGTTGAACATTATTTTACTCAATGTTTCATTTTTAACCTAAAATTTCCACTTTCCTTTAGCTTCATACATTAAATTTCTTGCCGCGTTCCTCTTCGAGCGCCCCTTTTGTGTGTGTGAGCACCACCTGGAAGAGAGCATCATCCTATCCGTTCACCATCTGTTGTCACCTGCGTAGTAGAACATCTTAATCTTAGCTGATTGACGAGGCCTCGACAGAATGGCTTAATGCTGTCTATGTACATGTTCCTTCATAACTGTGACGAAGGCGATGAGAGACTTCGCACTTCGTGTTTTATGAAACATGTTGGGTCTTATGCAAGCCGACACATCCTGGTATCGACCATACAGTCGAATAAAGGAACTTTTATATGCACCCATGCTTTTTGGTATATTTGCTTCGCAACTGTGTCTCTTGTGGCCAACCAAATTCAAGCATTGTTGATATTTCTACTCTTCAACATACGCCATCAACCCCCCCCCCCCCCTTCGAGCATGCGTGTCATTCCTCAACAAGTTTCACGACGCTTCGCACTTTCCTAGCTCGGGTGACAGCGCAAGGTCTACGAAGTTGCATCTGTTCTAGCAGGACAGCCGAAACATCACATGCCGGAAACGGTGGGCCTTGCAAACAGTGGAACGCCACAAATTTTCTTTTGAAGGAAATATACTTTCTTGGTGCGCAGAACGTTTCAGGAAGAAGTCACAAGGGACAAAGCGCACACTCGCAACCACTTTATCGCACAGATGGCGGCCGTATATATAAAGCCAAGAGGGCGAGAAGAAGACCCACAGCAACGAAAAAATGATGGCGCATGTGCCAGAACATCTTATTACACGAACCTTTAAATTACGTTTTAAGTGACAAGATACTTGTACTCATTGTCCGAATGGGGCACTTGCACACTCGGTTTCCGCCTTGCGAATAAAAAACGCTTCATTTCCCGTGCGCTCTTGTCATTCTTGTCATTACTTCGCATTAATCAAGCCTCCGGGTCCACTAACAATGGGCACAGTCGTTATCCAGGTGGCTGCCCACTGATCCGCGCTTGAGATCCGCGTACTCCTTAAGGAGATAGTTCAGACATGCAGCGCCCCATCTGACCGATGTAGTATCGGCCACATGATAAAGCAAATCGATATACAACACCTACATTACATTCTACGAACATTTTTGCAAGCTTCTTATAATACCCTATTCCTGAAGATCCTTCGTTTTTCATAAGTTTGTATAGAAACCCTGGATGGTTTTTGCTGTGAAAACAACCTTCACCCTAGTTTTTTTGTTCAAAGAATTCTTTTTAGGCAGTGTGAACGTTTGTGCATATAAAGTATGGCAGAAACTTTCGAGTTTGGTTGTTCCTGAATTGTGTGCTTCATAATCTTTCCCTGCTTTATTTAATTCAGAAGTGACTCTTCTGTGCCTGAGAGCAATTGACAAGGAAAGCCTGCTTTCTTACGTTAATATGGCTGCCGAAGCTGCTCTCAACCTGGTGATGACAGGACCTTGACACCGATGCCATCTCGCGTGCTTTCGCAATTCCTCGCTCAACAAGCTTGGAATGCGCTCAACTAAAATGTATCAGGGCTTTCTGGTTCTGGCAGAAACATCTTTCTGGTTCTGGCAGGTTCTGGCAGAAGCTCTAGGTCTAAAAATCTAAGTTTGTTATTCTCGGGAAACTCCGCCGTCAGCATGCAAATTAGTCATGTAATCAGAAATAATGCTCAACTCTCATCGGCGTCCTGCCGTGTGTCACACTGTTCCGCACTATAAATGACTAAGAAATCATTAGCATAGAGGAATACCTTAACGGTATTTGTCTCAGCAAGCCTCGCTGTATGCGTTTGTCATAACGAGCTAATAAAATACCACTGAGTACTGGAGCTAAACATGACCCAATGCGCACGCCCTGTCTTTGAGTGTACCATTTGTCGTTTTCTCGTGATGAAAGTCGACTGCGAATAAAAGTTCAGAAGTTCAAGAAAGCTATCTACGTTAGTTCCACAAAGTCTACAAAAAATTATTCCCACCACAGCGTTGGATGCAGACTTCACCTCCTCGCACAAAATGTCCTGAGGTAGGGAATAAAATAAGTCTTTAACGTCTACCGAAAACGCACAAGCACTTTGAGGGCACTCATCCCCTAGAAAGTCTAAAACGTCCTGAGGATTTTTACGAGGAACGTATCTTCAATGGTCAAGGCATTTGCAGATGTCGTCCGACAAGTTTCTGCCTAAGAGTCATACTCCGAAACAGACATAACTCCTTGTGGGTCTTGGCTGTGAAGGAGACAGAGAGGCTGGCACTTTCGCACGTCCTCCCGGACAGGGCCAACCTAATGAGCCCCCCGCTTGGTTCATACAGCCTCTCACCTTCTCGTTTTGCTTTTGCCGGAGCTACTTTCCGCAGTTCTCTGAAGTTCCCTGATCAGAGCCGCTGCAACCTTTTCTTCGTACAGTGGTTCGGGAACCAGGGCGAATCCTCCTTCCTCGTCAGACTGGAGTAAATTGATGTCCGCTTTTTTTAGGAGCAGACACGACATGCCGAATTCCTGAAGTTTCTTCTCTCGCGGGTTCCTTGGGCAGACGCTTGACTCCTTGTTGGATGCAGCTCTCCGTTTCATCAGCCTCAGTTCTCCCAGAGGCTTGTCCGACGAGACTGACCAACTCAGTTTTATCAAGCCTCGGGTGGACGCAGTTCTTAGGACCGAGTTCCAGAAGGCCATCTTTGGGTATCCTCTTATTTCCAAGGAGGAAAACGTTCTACCCCGAAGCGGGTGCTTTCGGTTTTTCTCCTTGGTAGCCTTATCCCCGCGGAACGCCAATGGAACTCGGCTGTTTGCGAGGAATTGCACAGATCCTACAGGAAACACTTTCTTGGCTTTGTCCATTTGTCTCACGCATGCGCACTGACGGGACAAGGAAGACTTCGCTCGCTTTAGCAGCAATCGCTTTCAGCGCGAAATCCTTGAATCAAAGAGGTTACCGCAGTCATTGATGTGTCTGGTAGTAGCCTTCGCGTACACTGGTGCGCTGCTTGCGTTGACTGCGCTTCGCACTCAGCTCGGAGGCCACGCAGAAAGGAACGCGTGGTTCAGATCTGCTCCGCCAGGTGCCGCAACGGTCCCGACAGATCGCAATCTTTCAATGAACTTCGTCCGGTACATTTCATCTTCATTTACCAGCGCACTGTTGGTACATGGCCACGTGGTGCGCCACATTCCGATCGAAGTATTCGCCTCGCTCGAAGCCGTTAGTATCACCGCCAAGAGTGTTGCCGAAAACTTCGTGTACTTCACTGGAATACCCCTCTCGTGGTTTGTGGAGTGCAACACACGGAGACGAAGTCTAGAATGTGAAGCAGTACACGTCGTGGGCCCGTAGTCGGGCTGTCGTTTTCCGGAACCAACGAGCACGCGGGAACTTTCTTTGGTTATAGCCAGCGAGTCGGTGGCGACGTACTTCGCATCCATCTCCAGCAAGAAGCGGTCCAAAAGCGCGTCCTAGGCCGCACACTCGGCGTTGGGGACGTGACAGAGAATCCAGGGACCGATCACCGTCTCGAACATAAAGACAAGTATAAATCGCGCAAACGCACTCCAGACGCACCTTTATGTCCCACATTACAGCGATACTCGTGCGAATTGTGGAGATAGCGTCCGGAACGGACATTTCGGTGATATTCAAGATGGAAAGAGAACTGCCACCGTCCAAGCAGTACAGTTAGTCCGCTTGGACGCTGGATATAGCGTTGAGCAGAGCGTGTCCAAATCTACCGCAGCCACCAGAAATAACGGAAAAGTACGTAGAAGAAAAGTTCGACTTCTGAGTAGGATTAGGATTAGAATTAGGATGTTGTAGGTAGCCGGCGGATCTACCCTTCCGAAATTTGCAGGTAATTGCCCTATCCTATTATTTGCTAATTGTAGCTAATGTCCTTTTGTTCGTTTGTTTTTTTAACTAAGCAAGGGCAGGATTTGAAACGGTCGCGCGTAGCTCGACGTAAGCCGAACTGTTGAACCAGACGTAAATATTATCTATTTTGCAGCGAAATTTGTTATGAGATCATGTACAAGACTGAAGACATTATCCAAAAAATCCAAAGAGTGAGAAATCAAAAACAAAAAAACAAGAAAATAATTACTATTATATTAACGATAACTTGATTTTTGGAGCCGACCTGGCAGCTGAGTTTGACAAACACAATTAATTTGGGATGTACGTCTCATATTTATTCACATATTAGAAACTACGTCTCAACGTTTTTCGTTTTTTTTTCGAGAATTCGTAAAAGTGTAAACCAGCCAATGCTAACCAAAGCCTTTCCACGGTGAAAGCTACGAGGACGCAGAGGACTGGCTTGAGCACTTGAACGCGTCGCAAAGGCTAACGGATATGGGGAAGAACGCAAACTTGGAAGTGTTTACTTCGCACTGGAAGATAGCGCACGAACGTGGTATGAAAACCACCAAGCACCTTCCGGCCATAGAACGATTTTCGACGGGAACTGCTCGCTGCTTTCCCGAACACAGACCGCAAAGAGAGAGCTGAAGCTGCGCTCCAGACAAGAAATCAGCGCAATAACGAAACTGTCGCCATGTATCTGGAAGACATGTCTCGCTTATTCAGCCGAGCGGATCCAAGTATGAGCGAAGACAGGAAGCTGCGCCATCTGATGCGAGGCGTGAAGCAAGAACTCTTTGCCGGACTAATTCGAAGCCCGCCGCGCACCATCGCCGAGTTTCGTTCCGAGGCGACTACAATGGAAAGGACGCTACAACAGCGAGCAAGGTTATACAACCGGGATGCGATCGTCACTTCTTTGGACATGTTGCCACCAGCCTTCGGTAACGGCATGAAAGCACTACGCGAGCTGGTGCGGTCTGTTGTGCGAGAAGAGCTGCAGAGGCAGCGTCTTGACCAGAACGCTCCAATGCTTTCGTCTCTGGCCGATGTGATCCGTGAGGAGGTCAGGCAGGTGGTACGCGAAACTTCGAGCAACGCACAGCCAGGGCCACCACTACAACAGAAGACGAGAATGACGTATGCTGATGTGCTACTACGAGGACCTCCAGGACGTGCGGACGTCGCGGCGGCTACACCTATGCAGTACCCGATGCCGCCGAGCACCCCGCAGCCAACGCCAGAGAGGAGACTAAGGAAGAGCGATGTCTGGCGCACTCCAGACAGGATACCGCTGTGTTACCACTGCGGGGAGCCTGGTCATCTCTACCGAACGTGCCACTACCGCCAGGCAGGACTCCGTGGCTTTCCTGTTAATGCACCTCGACCACGAAATGGCGAACGTCCCTTTGAAATTGAAGGATACCTGTTAGGTCGTCAAACCTCAAGTGGCTTCCAACGACACCAACCTCGAGC